CTGATAATTCCGGCGACGGGCTATCAAGAACTCTCAAAAGTATTTGGAAAAAGTGAAAAATGAAAAATTTTTTTTTTCACCTGGGGCCATAGTGTCAGATCTCGGATTTTTCCAGGGGGAAAGTCGACTTTCGCCAAAATCGTATTTTTTAGCCGGGTGAACGGTGATTCCAACTATTTAAGCGACGGGCTATTTAGAACTCTCAAAAGTATTTGGAAAAAGTCAAAAATGAAAAAAAAATTTTTTTACCTGGGACCAAAGTGTCAGGTCTTGGATTTTTTCAGGGGGAGAGTCGACTTTCGCCAAAATCGTATTTTTTAGCCGGGTGAACGGTGATTCCAACTATTTAAGCGACGGGCTATTCAGAACTCTCAAAAGTATGTGGAAAAAGTGAAAACTGAAAAAGTTTTTTTTTTCAGATTTTCANGGGGAAAGTCGACTTTCGCCAAAATCGAATTTTTTAGCCGGGTGAACGGTGATTCCAACTATTTAAGCGACGGGCTATTCAGAACTCTCAAAAGTATTTGGAAAAAGTCAAAAATGAAAAAAAAATTTTTTTACCTGGGACCAAAGTGTCAGGTTTTGGATTTTTTCAGGGGGAGAGTCGACTTTCGCCAAAATCGTATTTTTTAGCCGGGTAAACGGTGATTCCAACTATTTAAGCGACGGGCTATTCAGAACTCTCAAAAGTATTAGGAAAAAGTGAAAAATGAAAAAAAAATTTTTTTACCTGGGACCAAAGTGTCAGGTTTTGGATTTTTTCAGGGGGAGAGTCGACTTTCGCCAAAATCGTATTTTTTAGCCGGGTAAACGGTGATTCCAACTATTTAAGCGACGGGCTATTCAGAACTCTCAAAAGTATTAGGAAAAAGTGAAAAATGAAAAAAAAAAATTTTCACCTGGGGCCAAAGTGTCAGATTGTGGATTTGTCCACGGGGAAAGTCGACTTTCGCCAAAATCGAATTTTTTCGCCGAGTGAATGGTGGTTCCGATAATTCCGGCGACGGGCTATCCAGAACTCTCAAAAGTATTCGGAAAAAGTCAAAAATGAAAAAATTTTTTTTCACCCGGACCAAAGTGTCAGATCTTGGATTTGGCGAAAATTTTCAAAACCTTGATGTTCTAGACGTGAAGAAGTTCACGGCACAACCAACTAGAATGAGTTCTGGGATAAACATCTCAAGATAAATCCTTGCAAAGCCATAGTGAACGAGACAACTGTGTGAAATAGGCATGGAATGCTAAACATATCTTCAACAATTTCACCGACCCGGAGCACAAAGAGATGCAGGTGTCCTCTGACAGTATTCATCGATACATTCAACTACACCTGTTGGAAAAGCAAGTTATTCCCCTCCATTAGCTATCAGCTTCTCTCCCACTTGTTACTTCTCCAACACTAAAACATTACGAAATATTTTGTCAGCCCAAGTGGCGATGACCGGACAACCAATCTCCTGTCTGTTGCTAAATATTTTTCTCTTTCTCACTTCACTCGTTGACTAACCTTCGTGTTTTAAAAAAGCCTTTACCGATTTCTTCTTTAGCTATCCAACTCACTCAATCCTATATACGTTCTCTTGGTCGATGGAGTAAAATAAATTACCACGCGACAAACACAGTTAAAACTGTTGCAACATCCAATAACGTGTGGCCAACGAGCCATTACTAACTTTTAAGTTTTAAGAAATTCTCGGACGTTTGCCGATCTTGACCAATTTGAGAATAAATTCAAGATAATTACCGAGTCGGTTCACCATTGCTTTTGTTTTATGACATCTTAAAATTGTTGCTGTAATTAATAGATGAAGTGAGTGGGTAATTGCCGTTCTTGTACAGGCGGTTCTGTACCGCAATAAATGAGCGATAAGCGTTTGAAAGAATACTATTTTGTTATTCTTTTACAAATGATAATAAACGGGTCTTCTTCCCGTGGTTTTGGGGGTTTTGCAATGATAATAATGATTGTAGTGAATAAATTCAATTTATGGAATAGATGTAATTTATGAAGTTGAGCAAATAATAAAACAAAATTATGTTTCGAAATATCATGAGCATTAGAAAAAAAAAATTAAATCGTGACGGAGTTTCATGGGGTCATTTTTTTGAGACATAATTTCTTCAGACTCTAGATCATTATCAATTCTTTTCAGCATTCCACGATTACAGTGCTTCCTAGCGGTGAAAAAAATGGATTTCAGGAAAAAAGTGGATTTCATTTTGCCGGAATTGTTGGATAAATAAGAAAGAAAGTTTACAAAAATGAATTAATGTTTCGCAATATATCTATGTAAACTCTCGCATGAAACTTGACCCTCATGGCCAATGCAATGTCGAAGGTAGACAAGCAGAACTATGAAAAGGTAAGCAAGGCTGAGTGTGGTTGCTAAGTGGATGGGTAACCGCATGGAGAAACTAAAAAGAAATTATGGCAGGAAAAAAACATGAAAATTTTAATTGAAGAATGTCAGTCACGGTGCCACATATCTTCATCAAATTCATGCGACGACTCATGCTGTCAGAGGAATGCAATGGATGCAGGTCAATTTAAATTTGAAATTTCGTCGATTATTTTCGATAGCTTTCGCTGAGGCAGCGGAAATTTTTTTGTCTCTGCTGACGTGCAATTGCTTCGATAAATATTTGTGGAATTCCCCGATGAGGTGTCAAAGATTAAATACAACTTATAAAGTGCATACATCGTTTGCAAGTCTGAATAATTGATTGAATTGCACACATATAGGGGACACTGCCCAATCCTGTCCCGATTTAGCCTCTAAATTTGCTATGAATTGTTTTGCAGATCTTTCTAATTAATTATGAAATCCCACATGCAGTTAATATGATGTCAACTCAATTGAGTTGAGGAAAATATTTCGAAGAAAGAAAACATGAGTTTTTCACCCGGAATTTGTCAAATTGAAGAAAAATGTTCATTCTTGTCACGCAGAACATTTTCATCGCAAATATTTTAGGATAAAACAGAAGAAGTATAGGAGAGGGACTGAAAAATATTCAAAAGTTACACGAAGAAAGAAAATAAAAAAAAATACTGTACTTGGATCCTAAATTGCGGTCAAATGCACTGAGAGAAAAATTTACTTCTCCCAAGAAAAACAGAAAATTTTCTTGACACAAGTAATCAAATGGAGGTTTTGTATGGGACAGTTGAATATTTACTTGTGCTAAGAAAATTTATTTCTCACAAGTAAATTTTTTTCTCAGTGTGGCTCTGCCAGGCAAAATTCATCGCGAAGAGCAGAAAAATTATGTGCTTTCAGGACGTTTTTTTTCAGTTTTAATAATTTCTCGTGAACATCTCACAAAAATTGACACCACAGTCCGGTAAAACGAGGGGACCCTGATTTCGTACATAGAATCCGAATGTGCATGCCCTTTCATACAAAGTTTCCGAGATATTTCTTAGTGTGGCTCAAATATGAACCTGGCGTGTGAGACAATATTAAAATTACGGTGAACAATGTGGGTTTTGGCTAAGCATCCTTAAAAAACCATAACGTCATGAAATTGTCATCACAGTTTTCGTGCGTTGGTACAGGCCCGGACGCAATTGGTACCCACCGTCAATTGCTATCGAAGTGAATTTTTCTGAGGATCTACCAAATGCCAGAAAAAAATCTAAACTTTTCTATTGGACACGTAATAGTTGACTTACAGCGAATTATGAACAATTATGTCGACTAGTTCATCCCTGCTTTATCATTCATTTCGAAAGATGGATTATGATGAGAACAATTCCCAAGTGGAAAATTAGTTGCACATGCAGTCGAGAGTTACGAGTGACAAATTTCCTTTGTCAATAAAACGTCAGCAAAATTTTAACTTGTAACAGCAAGAACTTGATCAGCAAGGACAAAATTCATCAACTTTTTAGGCTAATTTTTGCTTTAATCAACATGATATCGGACAAATGATTTAATGCGAGACATTTTTCGTTCCCCGTGGATCAAATTAAATCTCGAAAAATACCCGTAAACGGAAAAACTGCCGACACTGTAAAAGTATCTCACGAGAGTAACCCAACGGCTAACAAACTAACGAATAAGAGAAAAACGAGAATGAGGAGAAGGAATTTACGGTCAGAGGAACTTTCATTTTTTCTTCGGTCAAAAAACCCACTGCTCAAACCCCAGAAATTCAGGAATAAGCGAAAATCGCAGTTGAAGAGTGCTGGAAAAATGCAGGAGAATCGATTATGGTACAAGTGTGTCAATGTACAAGTCAAAGAGATCTAAAAAAGTCAATTATTGTACAACTTTCCTAAGTATGACGTAATGACAGTTAAAACGGCGTCGGGTGACCGGGAGTGAAACGAATACCTGCTGGACCCAACCAAGTGGGCACATAGGTGATGCTCCCCCCCCC